ATGTGGTATCCATTTCCTTTTTAAAAAGTACAGCTGGAGGATGAGCTGTTTTGTGGTGCAGTGGAAATTTGAGGTGTCAAGCCCAAAATTGTCTACAGTTGAATGTTTTTACTCTGGATGTCTTTGAATCATTTGATCTTTTCTAGTACCAACTAATCTTTGCAAGGTTTTAGTAGCTTCCTTTTTAGTAAATTCTGTCCTAGGGCAAACTAGAAAAAGAACACAAATTGTTTCTGCGAGGCTGATTTGTATTTCCCTGGTGAAATTGAGGCATTGGGCTGTTTAGAGTAGCTTGAGCTTAAAAAAAAAAAAAAAAAAAAAAGGTAAAATAGTACAGGAAAGTTTTGGAGGGGTGTTCCTGCTTTGTAGAGTAGAAAAAAATCCTTTTCTTATGATAATAAAATGAAAGTTATATTGGGCAGTAAAATTAATTGGACAAAACCTTCTGATCATAAATATATTGTAGTTAAGTAGCTCTTACCTTTCAGTTGGTTTTGAGGATCAAAAGAATTGTGTAGGCAGAGTAATGGATTTTTTTTTTTTTAACAACTTGATTAAAAGTAAATCTTGTAGTAATAGTAAGTGGGTTAAAAAATGAGACATCAGTGTCTTTTAATAGATTCTATGATACATTGTGACTAACATCTGCATGCATGTAAAAGAAGTGTAGTAGATTTCCTGTTGAGAAAAAAAAAAAAGTGACAGTGGAAGGAGGCAAGGACAGTACTGGATGTGCTTTGTATTTAAAAAAAATACAACTTCAGACGGGATGATCAGGTAATGATGGGAAATATACAAGGAGAGGGGAGAATACTTTTGTTTATTTGTTTGTTTACTATTATTTTTTTAATCCACAGAAGAATCTAAAAGGAGTGCAGATACTTTTTCTTCAGAAGTCAATGAATTGAGTGATGAGGAATATAAAACACCTCTTGCAACTCCTCCCAATACTCCACCACCAGAATCTAACACTAATAGTGGCGTCAAAATGTCTGAATTTACTGGTTTAGAAATAAGTGAAGAGCAGCTACAAGCACACTTAATGAGTAAAAAAATGTATGAGACATACACGCTTTCATTTATGGACCTTCAGATCATGGTGGGCCGAGTGAAAGACAACTGGAAACACGTTCAAGATAGTGATGTGGGTCCAACTCATGTGGTAGAAAAATTCAATGTTCACCTGCAATTGGAGCGCAGATTGATATACACGTCTGACCCAAAATACCCGGGAGCTGTCTTGTCTGGCACTCTGCCAGACTTGAAAATTCATATCAATGAAGACAAAATATCGGCTCTGAAGAACTGTTGTACACAGCTGAGTACATCTGAAACTAAGTCTTCCGATGCCCTACATTTAGGAAAAGACAAGATTTTTGCAGAGGTAGACCAGCTTGGCAGTTTGCATGATTCTGTAATGAATCTAACACAGAGTGTTGTAATGCTAGAGCAACATACCAGGGAAGTTCTTGTTGAATCTCAGCTGCTTTTGGCTGAGTTCAAAGTAAACTGTATGCAGCTGGGTGTTGAAAGTAATGGACGATATATCTCTGTGCTCAAGGTTTTTGGCACCAATGCCCATTTTGTGAAAAGGCCGTATGATGCAGAAGTGTCCCTGACTGTTCATGGCCTGTTACTGGTTGATACTATGCAAACGTATGGAACAGATTTTGATCTTTTGATGGCTTCTCATAAGAATCTGAGTTTTGACGTGCCAACAGGAAGTCTTCGAGACAGCAGGGCTCAGTCCCCAGTTTATGGACCATATGATGCGCGTCCCATTGATGTAGCTAGTTTGGCAGAGAGATGCACTACAGCCCCAAATACTTCATCTGGTGGTAGCAGAAAAGATCAAGAGTCCCTGATAAAATTAGAGTATCAGTTTGTGAGTGCAGAATGCCCATCAATGAATTTGGATAGCAGTCTGCAGGTGATCTCTCTGCAGGTGAACAACCTGGATATCATCCTTAATCCAGAGACTATTGTTGAACTGATTGGGTTTCTCCAGAAATCTTTCCCGAAGGAGAAAGAAGATTCTAGTCCTCAGCCTTTAGTAACTGACTTGGAAAGAGATTGGAGGGAACAGGAAACCTTCCAGTCTACTTATGTACAGAATACAGAGGTAGCAGTTGATATTCACTGGTTAAATATACTCCTCCTCAGGACAGTTGGCATGACAAATGGAGAAAAATATGGCAGAAAAATTGCAACAGCCAGTATTGGTGGCACCAAAGTCAATGTCTCCATGTGTAGTAAATTTGATGTAAATGGCTCTCTTGGATGCCTTCACCTTATGGACCTAACACAAGATAGTGTGAAGAACCAGTATGTTGTCAGCATAGGGAATACAGTAAGGTATGAAAATCTCATTGGTGATGTAGATTACTTTGAATCTTTATTCTTTAGGCTTGATGATGGAAATAGCCTTCCAGATGCTTTAAGTTTCACTTTCACAGAAAAGTCAAAAGAGGAATGTTCTCTCAACCTCAAAATGGCCTCCTTGCACTACAACCACTCAGCTAAATTTTTGAAAGAACTAACTTTGTCAATGGATGAATTGGAAGAGAATTTCCGCAGCATGCTGAAAAGTGCAGCTTCAAAAGTTACTACAGTCTTGGCAACTAAAACTGCTGAATACAGTGAAATGGTTTCTTTGTTTGATACGACGCCACGATCAAGAGATGTTGCCAACATAGAAGATAATGAAGGCTATGCATTTGGATCACAGCCTCTCAAAACTGATACTATTAAGCTTATATTAAACGTAAACATTGAATCACCGATTGTCTCAATACCTCGAAAGCCTGGTAGCTCTGAATTGCTTGTAGGTCATCTAGGACAAATATCTATTCAGAATTTTGTACCAGGAGAAGATGAATCTACAAGTGATAGACTGCAAGTTGAAATTAAAGATATTAAAATGTATTCTTTAAATAGCAGTCAATTTACGAGCAAGAGGGAGCCTGCAAGTGAAATATCTCATGGGCTCCATTCTTCTTCAGGTCCTGCCAGTATTAATAGCCAGGAAGAATCCCATTTTACTCGTCATGACTTCTTTGAATCGTTACATAAAGGCCATGGTATGTTAATCAGAGGACTCTTAATTATGTAATGTAACTAGTAGATGTGTATTGACCATAGGTCTGATTGTATATTCTGTCTCACCCATCCTCCTGAAATATACTGCTCAATTTTAATTACAATGGACAAGTTATTTTATTTATATCCATTTTTAGTCTCCTAATCAAAACCTGAGTAGTGCCTTTCATGCAAGAATTTAAAAAAAACATAGCCATATGTACTTACTTTAGCATTGCTGAGAGATTCTGAGCAAGTTAAATAGCTACTATGTTATCTCTGCTGTACAGTCTTCATAGGATTGATCCATTCACTTATTTATGAAGTTGTTTTCATTTCACTTTCTCTTAACAGCTTTCCACATTCTGAATAACACCACCATCCAGTTTAAATTGGAAAAGATACCACTAGAGAGAGATTTGGATTTAACTTTTCCTCTGAGTAATGAAGACTTTGGAATATCAAGCATTATGAAGATTGAAGGGAAATTTGTGAACCCTCTTCAGGTATAGTAATGTAGTATTTCTACTATCAAT